GTCGGGCCCCTGGGCTCGCGAGCAGTGTCCGCACTGTCATGTTGCTGGTTTTCGAGGCCAGAGCAGACCTCACTACCATGGGATAGCTATGACAGCTAACGGTCTTGTAAAAATAATAAATACTTTTATTTCCTTTTGGGTTCAAGCCGCACTGGTAAAGCTCGCCGCGGAGGGCTTGGCAAGTCATTGCCTTCACAGTGTCTACAGTTAGGTCAGATATGCTGAAGAAATACAGTGTCGAGGTGACAGCAATGTTACGAAAGGAAAAGGAAAACTAAAAAGAAACACTGCTGAAGCACGATCTGTTGTCTGCAGGAACACAATGGGGCAAGCAAGATATGTTTTCTTTTCAGGAAAACAGGCTGGGTTTCATTTGTAATTACGCAGCAAAGCAAAGCGCATAACGTCAGTCTTGATTGCAGTACAAAGCTAACGAGTACTAGCACAGATTTAATGTTGTCACCCTATATTCTCAATTTATTCCCGTAGCTATGCAAAAGACGTTACTTCAGTAACGTCTGGCGCTAGCCAGGGTCCACACAGCTTTAATTCCCTTTTTGTGTGTTTGTGCCGTCGGCATGCCTGGCGCTATCCCGTGCCTATCCCGTACCGTACCATCAAAGACAGCTGGCCACAATATTCAAACAGGGCTATCAAATCCAAGATCGTAATGTGAATCAACTTGGAAGAATGAGTAGGTATGCGCAGTGTATCGGGGGGAATGCATGCAGGGCGATTGTGCAGTTTCGAATCCCAGGTCTGGTTCTTTAAAAAAATAGGGGAAATGAAAAATGTATAACATCCCTATGCTTTTTTTGCCTAGGTCATCAAGGTGGTAGACGGTGTCGTATTACCCTCGAATGCAAAGAGAAAGTTTATTTCTTTCGCTCAGGGTCCTACCGTATGCCTTTTGGCCTAGCTCATCACGCATGCTATTCGAACAGATGGAACGTTTTGCAGTACAATGATGTAGCCGATCAATTCGTCGTGGTATGGTTGAGAATTGTAGCCGTCATGGTGGACGTAAAACACTATTTACATACACAAGCTCGGGGAGCAAAAGTCTCTCTGTCCCATACGCTGCCACATACCAACTAAATACAAAAACATGCACTTTACACGAGCTGACTTGCACGCGTGGCCCTTTTCACGAACCCAGAAAAAAGGATTCGTCTATTATAACGCATGTGTGAAGTCACTAGATTACACCCGCACCAGAGATGAAAGGCGATCGAGCTGTCGAGGAAGAAGCCTAGAAGTGCAAACAGAAAAGATACCTGGCGCTATCCCGTGCCTGTCCCGTACCGTTTCATCAAATGGGGCGTCACAGGGCGGCTGTGAGTTGGGGGTGTCCCCTGAGAAAAAATAAGGATTTTTCGGCTAACAGGGCACGTTTTAGTACTCTACAGCCGCAAAGGAGGGTTCCCCTAGCACTTATTCGACAACCCCACTGCAGCTCAAAAAACATACTTCTCATGTATTTTTGGTATTTTCTGTACAGTCAACTTCGCTTATAACGACACTCGGCGGGGCATCAAAAATGTGTCCTTATTCGCGAAGTGTCGTTATACCCGAAGTCTCAATATATGTACTACAGTGGGATGGGACTTTGCTCTGGGCATGGAAATTCTGTCGTTATTCGCAAAATGTCGTTATATCCGCAGTCGTTATTAGCGAAGTTGACTGTACATTGTAGGTAGCCAAGCAAGGCAAAAGGAACCCATTGCCCTCGAAAAAATCGCAAAATCCGAAGTACAAGCGTGCTGCTCATTCTAGCACCAGCCGCTGTGCAAAAACGTATGTTATGTTCTGCAAAAGTCCGCAGCGTCACATGCACTATGTACACGGCCGGCCTGGACAGTCGCAAATATTTTGGTTGTTTTAGAGAGAGAAGAAGATCCTTTTTTATTCGGTGGGATTGAAAGGTCTGCCAGTGGACCGGAGAGCTACAACACTGGAAGCAGAAGAAAGGGCTTGCGGAATCTTCTCTGTCTTCGTGGCAACAGGACTTTAGTTTGCGAGAGACTTTCGTCCTGTCGTCGCGGACGCAATTCTTGCTGCTGCTACCAAAAAACTCGGAGAACGAAACGATCGTAAATCGTTGGGTTAAGCGGGTCGTGTCGGTGAACAGCTGCAGAATATTTTGCCGCCGTGGAGCAGCAGTCCAAACACTTTTCTAGTTCGGAGAATGAAGCGTTTCCCTTTTTCATTGACAAGCGCGGCTTTCGCGGGTGTAATGCATTTTCGCATCAGCTTGCAGTAGATTGCCAGGAGCCAGAGGTGCTAGGTAGGTGTCGTTGTGGAAAGAATATAATTATGTTGTAGCTGACAAGTGACATACATGTAGTGTCTCTTGACCGTGCTGATCGCCATTTTAACACGGTAGATCTTGAAAATTGTTAGTTCTGGACCCAGTGATCGCCGCCAGCTCAGCTCTGTTTCTGTCAAGTTTTCAGTGAATGCGTTCGTGAGGAATCCATCGTCTGGTTGGTCCTACCCATGACTCCAACCGCCTATCGTAATGGATAGCCGCCTGGAGTCTTGGGCAATAACTAACTGCTAGTGCTAGGCATCAAGTCTGTATGCTCCTCCTTGCAATGAAAGTAATTTGTTGCGATGTTTTGTACAAGTCCGAAGATCCTTGAATTTTCATTGCTTTTTTCGATGAATTGGACGGACTATCCTGGACGAAAAGTGGTACGACCATGGTCGTAGTGGTCGTGGCGTGTGTGACGCCCTTGGTCAAAGACAGCTGGCCACAATATTCAAAGAGGGCTTTCAAATGCAAGATCATAACGTGAAGCAACTTGGAAGAATGAGTATGTAAGCGAAGTGTATCGGGGTAATGCACACCGGACGATAATGCGGGTTCGAATCCTTGGTTATGTCTTGAAAAAAAAAACAAAAAAAACATAACATCTCCATACACAACATCTATACATAACATCTCTATGCTTTTTTGCCTAGGTCAGCAAGGTGGTAGATGGTGTCGTATTACCCTCGAATGCAAAGAGAAAGTTTATATAACCCAATAAATTCTGCAATCACTTTTGCCTTACTCATATTCAAACTGATTGAAACGTTTGTGCAAAACAATGATGTAACCAATCAATGGAAAAAAACATTTCCATCAGTTCCAATAACATGAATGATGAGCTAGGCAAAAAAAGCATAGTATATGGCCCTGAGCTTCCTAGCTCTCTCGTTTATAATTCTTTTTTCAAACGGGTCCAAGTAACCCGCCTCATCCCCCCCCCCCCCCCCCCCGCAGCCCCCCCCCCAACACAGCCCCCCGTCAGTTTCGCTGATCTGCCTGAACCGGCACTGGCGCTGATACTGCTCAAAGCCCATAACCAACTTAATTGAAGACCAACCCATCTCAGATGCTAAGTACAGTAAAACCTGTAATTAAAGACCACCGTGACTAGCGACCAGCCTGGTACTAAAGACCACTTTGCCAGGCACGGAAGGTCTCACATCCATACATGGTTGGGTTGTGCAAACCTGTAACTAAGGACCACCTGCCACTAAAGACCACTTTCTCTGGCCCCAAGGGGTGGTTGTTAGTCACAGGTTTCACTGTAGAAGGCATCAATTCCCTATGAATTCTTCATCCATAAGGATGCGGAACTCTCTGCCAGTGCCGGTGTTGCCTTTACTAACTAACGGAGCATCTCATAAGTTCGCATTTTATTTGCAAACGTAACGCATTTCGAATAGACTTTACCCCCCCCCCCCCCCCTTTACCTCCCCCCCCCCTTTATTCGAAGGTCTTATCGCACATTTTCTGTGTAGATCTACTGTACCTGTGTCCATGCCTCATGCTATGGTATGTACATGTGTACAGCATTGGGTATGTACATGGATATGAATGTTTTGCTAGTGAAGTACTGTAGTGCATCCAGTAGTTACATTCATTACTGAAAAACAATCTTCAGATATCTTCAGATATGACGTTAGACGTCCGTGATGATTTGTTGGCTTTCACTTGGCGTCTACTTTTCACCTATCTTTGTCACTACCTCAGTACCATTTGTGACGTGTAAGCTAGCGCAACCTATTCCTGTGTACGTCTCCTTCTCAGTGTGAATGATTTAGCACTTGTGATAGTTGTGTCTGGTAGGGTTCAGAACACCTCCATTCTGCACTATTCCCTTTTGTGTTGATATGTCACATATGTGAGTTAGTTGAGTGTTTACACCTCAGTGCGCCAATATCTTTTCTATAAAATAGCATTATTCAGCTAAACCCTTTCATTCAACAACTGCTTCTCCTCTGATGAGTTCCCCGTTATTATCTCTATGGAACGAAACAAGACTTGTCAGGAGTACTACTACTTGCTTTCGTGGAGTGTGGCTGATGAACAGTTCGTGCTGCAAGCGTCGTGCGGTCTCGTCCGGTCAAATGAACAACCTATTACTATTCATTACTGAGTACAAGAACAATCAATGACGTGTAGTCATCAATGGTCCTGTACACACACATAAACGTACATGTAGTTCCTCAAATTCCCCCTCCATAACAGCTGTGCATGTACAGTGTACAATGTCAATGTACTGCTGTATAACAAGCTGGCCAGGTACACCGTTTGAACAGGCTGGTGTGACATTTGACACCTCTGAGTAGCCTGCATGCATGCATACAGTGCAAGGGTTAGCTGATCTGCAAAGACAGGTAGATCCACACCTAAACCATGTAAAAACAGTTATCTGAAGTGATCTAGCACATGCACAGCACAGTGTTGTACACTTCCAGAAAATGTGCGAACTGTCATTTTTCTATTCGAAAAGGGTGCTACCCCCCCCCCCCCCAACCCCGTTTCGAAATGCCTTACGTTTAGAAAACAAATGCGAACTTATGAGATATGTGTGTGTTTGTGTATGTATATGTGTGTGTGTGTGTATGTATGTGTGTGTATGAATCTGCATGTGTATGCATGTATGTGTTTGTTTGTGTGTTGTGTGTACATGGTTTGTATTCATTAACGATGCTACTTCCAGTGGGGTGGGACACCATTCCACTTAGCAGCATCCGGAGGTCATGTGTCCGTACTAGAATGTCTGTTGAATGCTGGACATCCTTTCGAAGCGAAAGATTCGGTAAGTCAGGATATCCCTGGTGCATGCTTGTTTGTGTAGGAGCAGAAAAGAAGGATTACCGTACTTTCGCGATTAGAGCCCTCTCTTGAATAGTGCTCTATGTTTAAGAGTGCCCCAGTCTCTATGAGCATGTGAGAAAAAAATATAGCCCTCCCTTGGATTGTGCCCCCCCCCCCCCCCCTCTCCCCCCCCCCCCCCCCGGCTACCAAGCGCATGTGCACGTTTTGTTTTCCAAGCCATGTGATAAGGGTCGTACCGACGTAATGTCCTGACACTTCCCGGACTTGCCATTTTGCCTCACATGTCGCTGAAAGGCAACATTTTTTAAATTCTCGACCGAACGATATGAACGAACAAAATTTCCCTGGAAACTGCACACAAGCCTTGCACGTAACCACATTAAGGACTATAACTGATCTCAGAAAATGCGAAATCGGCATTCTTGCACATACTTCTCCCACGATAAGTTGAATAACTCCACTAATAACTTGTAGGTCGATTTTCACTATCTCGGACTTTCTGTTAGGCTCTATCCATAAGTAATACATTTCCTGTAGAGGCTGAGTGTAAGGGGTGTAGGAGGTTGCGTGTTTTGAGGCTCCCGTTTTTCCGTAGTTTTTAGGTAGCTTTTGGGGACTAACCCCAACAGCCTGGGTGGGATGGCTAGCCCAGATCACACTGAGCAGCTGGTGAGCGCCGAACAGGTCCATACACAGCTTCGCTCATTGCCTGGCATCAAACACAATGTTGTAGAAGTGCTGAGAACTCTAGCTCGTCTTGAAAGCCAACTTCAGGACCAGGAGAAACGATATCAACGAAGGATTAGTGGATTGAGCTCCGAACTTTCCCTGCTGAGAGAGGACCTGTCCGACACTCGCCTGTGCCAAAATTTGGACATCGGCAATGTTACGTGTGCGTCTTGTTAATCAAAGACCTCCGCCATTGCAGACCTAGAGAGAGAGAGCAAGAAACAACCAGCCAGAAGCAGCGCCGAAATGGAAAAAAACGTAGTACAGGCACAGAAAGTCGTTCACAGTCCGCCGTACCTGTGAAGAGTTCACGACCCATTGATCCCGAGATGGACCTGACTAGCAGTATCAGATCCGACGTTGACAGCTCAAGCAACAAGCCGTCCAACTCCCGTACACATGGTGCACCCGGACCCAGCTCGGAGTTGACCCCGCCACGTGTGGATCGCTTGCCGAAATTTGAAGAGATGAGTGAGGATTCGGACGCCACATGGCGACTCATCACCTCCACCAAACCCACAGCGAAAAAGAGAGTCCTGTTTGTCGGAAATCTGATGCATGCAATTACTGCAGACCAGCTGAAGGAGTTCATCGCAGCAAGAGCAGCTGAGGCTGACTACAATGTCCAAGTGTTTGACGTAAAAATATTTCAAAAAGAAAAATCCTCCACTGCGAGTATTGTTGCCAGTGCAGCGGACGAATCGTTTCTCAGCAACAAGCGCTTCTGGCCAAGGCCTGTGTACACAAGAGAGTGGAACTTCGATAAGTACACCCAGTCTGATGCCAGTGGAGATCAACAAACAGCGCAGAGCAGCACCACGACCACCAACAGCAGCAGCAGCCGCACGGACGACAGTAAGAGCGGATACAGCGTGGATTGCGATATCCTAGATGACACCTGTGGAGTACCGGCCCGGACTCCAGGCCAGAAATCACGGGGCTATCAGCGTGACTCGCCGCCCGAGACGCAAGCTGCGAAGTTTAGTGTCACCGTTGGCAACGCATTTGCATCTCTAAGTTAGGATGTGGATAATATATCTGTGCAATGACTGGAAGAAGATTAGGCAACGACCCTGCTGCTCATGAACTGAATATCCGGTCCATCAAAATCAGAAGCCTGCGCCACAAACTGCGTGATGTTCTGGATCTTGCTGAAGGAACAAAATCTTACATACTTGTAATTTGCGAAACATGGCTGGACTCATCCGTCACTCCTGGCGATCTCCACCTCCCAGGCTATAACTTAGAAAGGCTTGATCGCAGCGGAAATGTTGGTGGTGGTGTATGCATCTATTGGAAAGCTAAACTCAACTGCCAACCCAGGCCTGATCTCGTTTCTCCAGGCATAGAATGCTGTTGGATTGAAGTGAAAAACCAGCCATCAGCCATGCCTGATTGGGAGCTTATACCGGCCACCAGGGTGCACTGTTTCATATCGGGACTCCTTTGAAGCCCTGCTGAGTAAAGCCTGCAGCCCAACGACGCAGACAATACTTTGTGGAGACTTTAATGTTGACACCAGTCGCAATTGCAGTAATCATATGCAGCTGGCTGATATTGCTACAAGTTATGGACTGCAGCAGCATGTACGCAGCCCCACTCGTATTGGACTAAGAGGACCACCAACTACAATTGACTTAGTATATAGCACAATGGGATGTGTTTCTCCTGCTACGACTCATGCTATCTCCTTCAGCGACCACCATGCTGTAACAACCCCTTTCAACATGGTTCCAATTCGAATTCCTTCTGCAGCTCCTGCACAGACACGGAACATCAGACGTATCAATATGGACCTGTTTCGGCAAGATATCCAGTGTGCCAACCTGTGCTCCATGAAGGGAACCTGTACCGAAATGTGGACCCAGTGGCACGAGTGTCTCATGTCACTCGTAGATCAACATGCACCACTCCGGCCTCGGAAGCACCGTGCCCACAATGTCGCACCATGGTATACCCCGGAGCTCGCAGCGCTTGTACGCAGGCGCAACAAACTGCATCGTAAGTGGCTGAGAACCAGACTTGATGTGGACTACCGCAGCTTCCAGCAGAGCAGACGGGAGGTTTTCCCGCTGTTGCAAACCACCAGTTCTCAATTGGGAAAGGCCTTCGCGCTTATGGCATTGTATTCGTCGCAATGTTGTCTTTCGACTCCGCCGTACCGCTGATGTTGCTGCATGGCATACGCTATATGCGCTGTGTGTGTTTTGCTGTATACGCTGTTATGTCCAGTTTTATATCCATATGTTTTTGCATGTACGCTGTTTTTGCATGCTATAAATAGCTGGTGTTAGTAGTGTTCATTGTTAATTATTCGATGAAGTGAAATATACTGTCTAAAGGAAAAGAGTTGTCCTCGTGCCGTGTGGTCGTACGATCCTGACAATTTAGAGAATCTTAGAGGCTTCACAACAGGCTGTGTGGAACATGCTAGTCTGTGTAGCGAAGCCATGAAAGACTTGAAGAGGAACAAGCGCTCCATAGCGATTGTGTGAATAGACCTAAAGAACGCATTCGGATCAGTAAAGCACAATTTAATTCAAGCGGCATTGCATCGGTACCATATCCCACTGAAAATCAGAAGACTTGTATTTTCTTACTACGAGCATCTCAGTGCTTTCGTCCAAAAGCCCCAGACCCGGACGTTCCGGTACAGTATAGGTGTGTTACAGGGATGCCCTCTGTCCCCTAAACTGTTCAATATCACCTTCCAAGTCCTCCTCGATGCCCTCCAGGAAAACCCCTACAGGCACTTTCATACAAATTCAAGCAGACAGATATCACTGCTTCTAACACTGGTTTCGCAGATGCTTTAGCTGATTTTAGTAACAGAACCCATGGCGCACAAAATAAACTAGATGTTGTTGACAAGTTTTTGTCCTGGTCGCAAATGGAAGCTGCCCCACATAAATGCAGGACCTACGCGGCAAAACTAATTAACAACAAGTACACCTGTTTCGACCCCAGCCTTACATTTTCCAGCAAGGATGTACTGCCGCTTAATGGTGAGCAATTCAAATTTCTGGGGAGAAATTTGACGGACAAAGTGAAAGATCTCGAAATTTGACGGACAACACACAGACAACGCAAAGATCTCGTTGACCTTACTAGATGCCTCTTAAAACTGGTGCATGAAACTTACCTTGTCGGTCACCAGAAACTCTGGCTCTATGAACATCTGATCATCCCGAAAATATCATGGCACCTTAAGATACTTGACCTGTGTCACAGTTTTGCCAAAATGATTCATCACATCAGCCTCTCCTTTATTGAAAAGTGGGCAGGCCTACCCAAGGCTGCAAACACCGCCATCCTCTTCACCGGAAATCGAGAACGGCCAGGCCTCTGGCTCACGTGTATCACAACACTATGGAAACAGCAGCAAACTATTAAATGGCACATTATCAAGCACAGCAAAGACCACAACATCGCTCAACTGTATTGCCATCACAGAAAACAAGAACAAACGTTCACCCGTAAGTTCTCGCCGGTTGTGGAAGTGGAATGTGCCGAAACGGCCGTATCGGACACGCCTGCTCCACGACCGCCCAGAGCCGGACTGGGTTTCGTGACACCAAAAGCACCCGTGGTAAAACCAAGAAAACAAATCCTCAATACAATCAGAGAAGGCGACTGCCAGGAGCAGGTCCGGCACCTAAAGGGCCTACAAATGCAAGAGGCCTGGACCAAATGGGCAGACACAATGTTCGAGAACATGACATGGCGGAAACTCTTATACGAGGGCTATGGAAAGACGATATCGTTCCAAATGAACGCGATACTTTATACTCTGCATTTGCCTGACAATCTGAGACGATGAGGCTACTCTGTTGTGGACCAGTATTGCCCTCTTTGTCAGCGGACATCAACACTGAGGCACATTCTCACCGCCTGCCCTTCCTCACTCCATCAGGTACACGTGGCGCCATGACAACGTCCACAAGCAAATCAGTAAATTCATGACAGAAGTAGTATCAGCAAAGCAAAAGTCGTCAAATACCGAGCAAACTACCACTACAGTCCATTCAGAAAACGATGGATTTCTAGGTTTTGGGCATAAATGGGTCAAACGTTGGAGTTTTTTTTAGAATTTTCTCTGAAATCCTCTATGGAATCCCCTTCCAATTATGTTTCTGAAGTCGATTTCTTCAAAAAGCAAGCCATAGTGAGAATAGGATTTCGGCCAGGTTTTGCCCCAAGAGCACTAAATAATAATAATAATAATAATAATAATAATACCACAGCACGCGTACAAAGGCCAAAGAACAATGCATGAGAATACACTGAAATTAAGCCCAGTCCGCTTCTGTCTCCAGTCAACAAAAAACTCATCCATAAACAATGTCTGATCTCCATTTCGACTTGTCTGCAGCAAATGCTCGTGCTCCTTCTAGGTCGCTGGCATTCTTCAAAGGAATGTCGTGCCCTGCCAGGTCCTTCATGATGGTGGTAGGGAGAGTAGCCGCGGGACGGCCCCTTCGTCCACGTGACCCCGCTTGAAAATAGCAGGACATCGCAAGGCAAGGGGGTGACTGCTCACTCATCCTCAGCACATGGCCAGTGAGGCTACGGCATCGCTTGGCAACAAGCTCCGACAGTGGCTGCGAGTCACATCTGGAATACAGATCATCATTCGTAATTCTGTCTGGATATCGCACTCCCACCAGGTTTCTGAGCTGTCGGCGGCGAAAACAGTCCAGTCGCTGAAAGACTGCCTGGGTTACTCCCCAAGTCTCACAGTTGTGAAGGAGGACAGGCAGCACAAGCGAGCTGTACAGCTTGAGCCTGGACCTTTCTGACACATGCTTGCGCCGCAGCCAGAGGCTGAACATACTACCGTATGCCTGGGATGCCAGCGAAATCCGCCTGTCGATATCCTCAGCGCCCCCCATAAGAGAGCCAAGCTGCCTGATGCTCCACCACGTGCAACTCCATTTCCCAAGAGCACTGAATTGGGAAAATCCATCAAAATCCAGGCCGATTGACCCTGCCTACAACAGTGCATTGTACGGTTCGAACCCCAGTTCAGGTACCCTTTTTGGACCATTTTCAAATTTCAAATTTCACAACACTGCACTGTGTATGATAAAATCTTGAAAAATCGCCTAATACGGGAGCTCGCCAGAGCCAGGGCCCATCTTTTTGTGAATGGACTGTAACGGCACATACATTACCTTCTTTAAACCAGGTCAAAACATCCCCCGTGGCTAGTTGCCTCAGCGGAAAGGTCTGAGCGATGTTTTTTGTCGGGATCACATGATTGGCGGCTTCTTTCAGATCTGGACGAG